GAAGAAGTGGATGTAGCTAGAATTAATTATACCATCTAACCTTACATGTGTTGTAAATTATGTATTTAAATAGCAGCACTAATAAGAGATTTTCATAAGCAGTTAAAGAGTGATCAGTAGTTATATTGCTATGACTTTCTCTTGAGTACCCGCATGCTTAATATTTTGTCCTGTGCCAATTTTAGGTCAGGAAAACTAGTACTTTCACTTTGCATTTACTTAAACTATAAGATATGCAATTGGCCTTAAATAAATGCAGAATCTCTCATTGAAGCCCCTGGTGCTAATTCACTTCAGTGCATTCTTTAGGGTAGTGTGGAGAGAATATGTATGAGTTCATAGGATTGGATGATAATGTAGAATAGGACAAGTCAGACATAACTGTGTTCAAGTTCCAATTTTGCTGTTCACTAGCTGTGTCACCCTGGCAAGTTACTTAACTCTTCTAAGTCTATTTTCTCAAAGAAATGTGGACAGTAAGGCTATGAGGATAAAATAAGGTAATGTGTCTGATGTACTTAGTGTAGTGTCTGGCACACAGGGGTAGTTACTGGAGTGATTTTGTATTGGTGTGATTACTGACTTGTTCTCGAATGGGATGTAACTGAAATATTATGCAATTTAGCAAACAGAAGATAGATCTTCTAATAAAGAACAGAAAAATTTGATGCCAGAGAGTAAGCCATATCTTAGAAACCACGTGGTCGGTTCTTATTACTCTGTATGTGTTCATCTCTCTTTGTTCCTTCCTTGCCTTTAGTGAAGTCATATAAGCATGGTAGTTAAGACTGCAGGTCTGTAAAGCCCATTTGTTGTCTCAATTCCCTGGAATTAGTTGGATATTCCAGGTTCATCTTCCCATCCTTTCCGATCCAATCAACACTGCTAGTGATAATAGCCAACATGTATTGACTGCTTCCTGGGTCCCAAGCACTGTTCTAAACACTTGACAACTGTTACCTCATTTAAATCTCACAGCCCTGGCAGGTGGCTGCCATTACGGCCTCCATTTGTACAGATGAGAAAATTGAAGCCCAGAGAGGTTAGGTGACTTGCCCTAAGATGACATGACTCTCTTGGTTAAATGGTGGAGCTGGAATTCAATCCCAGGCAGGCTGGTTCCACAGTTTGTACTCTTAACCACATCTTCCTAATTTCATTTGGGGCTGGAAGATTTGATTTAAGTTGGCATAGCTTTTCCGTGGTGGGGATAGTAAGAAAGTAGATGGTATCCTTCCCCAGCAGTCCATTAGTAACCAGTAATTTGTGTTGGGTATTGGCTTTTGTCTCCTACCTCCAGCCACCAGCCATTCAGGAAGGTCCATAAAACCATTGGGAAGAACCGGGCGATTTTATCCTCTTGATTTACAGTAAATGTTAGTTGTTAAAATACAAGATTAGAGGGTCAGGTTCTTTGGAGCTTATATCCAAAGAAGAAAGAACCATTTTTGTATTAAGATATTTTAAAAGTTCTCACATGCTAAGCAGGGAGGCTGAATTAAGCCCTGTGTTGGGCACAGTTCTAAACACGCCGTGTGTCTTCGATGAGTAAGTGCATGTCGGTAGAACAGTTGGTATCTCTGGCCTTACTGATAGGGCTTCCTTTTGCCCACGTAATGTAGATCCCCAGATGTGAGCATTTCCATCGGACACTAACTGTCAGTCTCAGAAGAGCACATTGTAGGATTCAGTGTGTGTTGCACAACAATCCAAATTGCTCTTTTCTTTCGCGTGGTGATTTTTTTTTTTCTTTCCATATCCAGCGGTTAGTACTAAGGCCTGAAACCCTTAGTTACAGAACAAAGTGGCTTAGCAGTAATCGAGCCTGTGTGAGGCTAAGAGAAGAATAATGAACATTCCCTGCAAGCTTCCTGCCTAGATGCAGGTGCAGGAATCAGGAGGTCATGAATAATGCATGACATGCAGATTAGGTGGTGGTTTCTCCTACTGGGGTTTTGACTTTGCTACCTGCCTGGCTGCTATATGTGTAAAGAAAGGAGGCAATGGCCAGAAGCGCCACAGTGTAGCCTGAGCTCACAAAAACACCTCATAGCCTTTTGAAGAAATAAAATTTGGGGAGGAGCTGAAATGCAAACCCTTATGTCTCCTTTATCACATGAAGTATGCTCCGGGTTATCAATTTACCCCCTTTCAGAAGGGGGAAAAAAGCTTTCTTGTTTTACCATTTTAATTTAAGAAACCTTGTTTATCTCCATACAGTCATGGAATTCTTTGTAGACTGTTAAAACATTATAGGAATTGCCTACGTATGGTATTTGATCTATGGATCAATGAAATTTTGTTAAAAGATACAGTTACCTAGAGGATATTGTAATTATAAGTTAAACAGGCCCATTTTTCTCCACTGATATATGGAATGAGAAGCATCAGTAAGAGAATACTTCCATCATCAAACATCACCTGGTGGGATTATGATGAATGGAAATATGAAGGTTAAGGAGGAAGAAATACAGGACCTAAACATTTAGAGGATGTGGAGTGAATTAACTTCATTTAGGTAGTAGGACTCTGATAGCCTAGAGAGGCTGTAGGGAAGGTTAAGAGGACTTCCTGTATTGTCCCTTGGGTCAGGGGGATTTAAGTGGGGAGATGTTTTTTGGCTCATAATTCCATTTTGTTGATTGTATTTCAAGCAGACAGACTGAAACAAGAAGAAAAGAGAAGAAAAAATGAGCCGTGCTACCTTTTGTATAATTCTTCTGCGTTTCTATTGCATGTTTTTTTCCTCTCTCCCCAATTTAGGGTGCCGGAATATGAGCTGGCTTTCATTTCTAGCTGAGTCTGTCGTTTCCGCTAGGCCCCAGTTTGGCCAGATGCCAAGACCAACAGGTGATCCTTGTAGCTGCAAAACAGCAGGAAGTGGGCCGTGCTTGAATGAGACAGTTCACCAGAGGGGCTGTCTGGCCTCTCTCCATCTTTCTGCATAATTAACATCCCCTCCCCCATGCAGAGCAGAAAATCTGTGCTGAGCAGCTCAGCTGCAGCAGCCATTGAGAAGCGCTGTTAGGAAAAGAATGTTAATAAGGGATGTTGGAAGAAATAAACCTTCCCAGTGCAAAGTGCAGTCTGGCTCTGGATTTACAGAAAGTTTGCATTTAGCCCTTCTACAGAGCTGGAACGGTATTATCTGTTTTGAAATGATTTTCACTTGCTAAACAACTATGGACAGCTGGGTTCTAGTGAATGTTGGAGCTGTTGGTTCTGACAAGGCTCAAAGACTCATTTAAAATTTCTGTTTTCAGGGCGCCTGGGTGGCTCAGTCGTTAAGCATCTGCCTTCGGCTCAGGTCATGATCCCAGGGTCCTGGGATCGAGCCCCGCATCGGGCTCCCTGCTCTGTGGGAAGCCTGTTTCTCCCTCTCCCACTCCCTCTGCTTGTGTTCCCTCTTTCGCTGTGTCTCTGTCAAATAAATAAATAAAATCTTTTAAAAAAATAAATAAAAATAAAATTTCTGTTTTCTTTCCTGTAAATGAGAGAAATGTGTGGGACATAACAATACCACAAGCTGAAAGACTGCCTAGATCTCACAAATTACAGTAAAGATAGAAAAAAAGCAGGAAGTTGGCCATAAGGAAGCAGGAAGTAGAGCATATTGTCTTGCCAGTTAGTGACCCACAAAGGGGTGGAGGTTCAGCAGCTAGCTCCTGATTGGAAGATATCAGCAGTTCTTGGAAATATAAGCTGTTCCAGTGGATGATTCTAACCCTGGAAACTTGTAAGACAATGTAGTTTTTACTTCTCCATTATTTAGCTAAACTTTTGAATTGACTGCCTTCCTCAAAGCCCAGCTGCAGAGCATCACATCTAGAAAGCTTTTCTCCTAGAAATAACTGTTCATCTTCCTTCCTCTCCCAGTCTCAGATTCTGTTCCTGGACATTTGGATGAAGTTATTGTGGTGGAAGAAAAACAAAACAAACCCTTTTCTTTTATCTTCTCAGGTTCTGTGTTTGGGGGCCTGCATGTTAAACTGACAAAAGATTAAATAAATAAACAAACAAATTGACAAAAGACAGATTAGCAAGAGGGGGAAGAAAAACCCATTCATTACACATGCAACATGCATACTTGCAGGAATGCTCAGTGATGAGTAACTCAAAGGGGTGGTTAAAAATGTGGATCCTATATAACATTTTAACAAAGAGTAATAAATTGTGGAGGAGTGACTAGTCAAAAGGGGGGTTTGAGCTTCTAGGAGGGTGAATTGTAGGAAGGGACGGGGGAATCTAATGGTAAATAAGGGTTATTTATGCAGACTCATCTCAGTACCATGTCTGAGTAAAGAGTTGTATGTTGTGCTCTTCTTCCTGGTATTGGACGTGGGGGGAGGAAGACACCTTTACAAAGGAAAATTTCCTTTACAAAAGGGAAATTCATGTCCTGGTTTTTAGGCATATAAAGGGAAAGTAGAGAGCTCCTCCTACAGCTGCCATTTCCTACTTGCTTTCAACTCAAAATAATCCTGAGGCCAAAGTAGCATATTCTGGGGTGGCATATCCTGATCTCTTTCATTATCTTTTTAGGGTTTGTAATCCAGTAGTTGACTCGGGCAGTATGCACTTACTGCCTCTTTGTATCCCTGGTGGGAAGAGGTAGCAGAAGGGACTCATCGTAGGCAAACACCATAACTTTTACATTACTTTTACCCACTTCTAAACCTGGCAAGGATCAGCTAGTCAGTAACTTTTTGTTGGACTGAATGAATCTGTCATTTGATTAACACTGGGGGTCAGGCTTTTGGGGATCTGCACAGTGAACGTTGTGACAAGCCATTGTTACGTTAAAAGTGGTACAAAAGGAAAAAGACAGCAGGTTTGCATGCATAGGAATTTAACTGTATTCATTTACTAAGAGGTGATTAAATTCTGGGGCATTCTATATTAAGCATACCTACAAGAGATCATTTATAAACCAGCTCTTTTTTTTGTTCTTAATTTCATTTGTAATCGGGAATGTGCTTTTTTTTCTCCTCCACCTACAGGGTACATCCGTCCCCAGTATCAAGGGTCCGGGGAAATCGAATGAATAATCAGAAGTTTGCTTGGTGAGTATATAGTCTAAGCTATAAAAATTTGTAAGTCTTATGGGAAGTTTTAATTGGGTAATGTTAAAACAGAAGAGAATTATTTCTGCTTCTCTGTAGAGAATACATTTCGACTAACCAAATTACATAGTCTCCCTTTCCTTTGGAAAGTTCTAAATAGAAGCAATAAAGTTCCTTCTCAGCTAAAGCCCTTCACTCACCAAAAACTGAGGCAACATTTTTCCCCTAACAGATATGGCATATTTTCTAGGATTATCCACTGTTATATTTTTAAAGAATGTTTCTTTTTTTTTGAAGCTATTACAAATTTTTTAGTGAGATTTAGGCAACAACTCAGATTTTTCTCAGGTACCAACTTCTACTTCTCATATTTTCATATTAAATTAAGCTATTATTAATTTTGATGATTACTATTTAGATGATTTTTCCTTATCTTAGCCATAAATATCTAGGAATTTCCTTTCTTTCTTTCTTTCTTTCTTTCTTTCTTTCTTTCTTTCTTTCTTTCTCAATCTCTCTTTCTTTCTCTCTTTCTTTCTTCTTAAATTTAGGGCGTATGAAGACCTTTTGTTTTCCTTTTCTTTCTTCTTTCTCTCTCTCTTTTTCTTTTGGCTTAAAACAATACACATTTATTCTCTTAAAGTTTTGGAGTTCAGAAGTCCAAAAGGAGTCTTATGGGGCTAAATCAAGGTGTCAGTTGGGTTGATTCCTTTTGGAGGCTCTAGGGGAGAATCCATTCCTGGCATTTTCTGTCTTAGAGAGGTCATTCTCAGTCCTTGGCTTACGGCCCCACATCACATGCCTATCTCCCCCTCCTTTCCATGTCACCACATTGTCTCCTTCCTTTCTGTAGTCAAATTTCTTTCTGCCTTCCTTTTACAAAGACACTTGGGATCGCATCTCAGGCACACCATTAGATAGCCTGGAATGATCTTCCTTATCTCAAGATCCTTAATCATATCTGCCAAATCCACTTTGCCATGGAAGGTAATATTCATGAGGTCCAGTGATTAGGACATGGATCAAAGATCTTTGACTGACTAGTTCTTGAAAATAAATAAATAAATGGAACTTACCAGAAATGACCTGAAAAATTATTACAGTCATAAAACATTGACTACTTATTCTTTAAAGAAGTAATTTAAACTGTTTCACAAATGTTTCATGTGAAGCAAACAAAAAAATTAAGGTACCGTATTTGTTTACATTACTCCATGCCAAAAAATTAACCTTTCTACACATATATATCTTCAAAAAAAGAAAGAAAAGAAAAAGAAAAACGTGAGCCGTGCACTGTATTACTTGAAAAGGGAATGGAAATTTACAGATCTCCATTTGTACTTCATTGGGTTGTGCTTAGAATGGGATTTTGATTAAAAACTATGGCTTTTTTTTTTTAAGTGTGGGAAGATGATTACCAAAGATTGAGCTTCCATATTAATTTTATTCCTAAATCAGGATTATTTTTAGACTGACAAAATGATTCTTTGAATTTGAATAGTGCGTAATCAACTCACCTCCCTTCCCCCATTAAATCTAATTAACCCTCACAATAGCTTGGTGATGTTGTTAAATATTATGCTTTTCTTTTTCACAGAGGGGGAAGTGGAGCACAGAGAATATAGCCATTTGCTTCTACACTGTCTAAAAGCAGGGGCATCCTTCATGGTTTCTCACAGTCACTAAAGCATACTGTCCCCTGCACACCTGGAAAGCTAAGAGAATAATGCTGACGCCCGTTACACAAAAGGAAAGGGAGAAGCAGGTCCTTTCTTGACTGCACAGAATTGATATTCCTTCCCAGTACAAGGCATACTGTACTAAAGAAACTTTATAACATACAGAGAATATGAGATGCTCAAGCGAGCACCATCAGCTAATGAATACAGTACGGCATTGCCGAGTAGCGTATCCACTTTCTAACAACTGATTTCTCAATGGCTAAATGCAGATCACTGAGTAAGTAACAGATATTCTTTCCTTCACTCTTCCTTTCTGAATGGTAACTTGTTCCTACATAATTCATAGCATGTTATTTGGTTAGTAAGTTTAAACCACTTTTATCTCCAGAGAAGTAATCCATGAAAAACAAAAAGGATTTTTACTACTGGCCTTGAGAAAATTCAACTTTTATTTATTCAGCAACATTTATTTACATTCTCTGGCACTGTGAAAAGCACTAGATTAGAAAGATAAATAAAACATGGTTTCTGTCCTCAAGGGACTCACTCTCTTGTAGTTGAGCGAGGGGGTGTGTGTGTGTGTGTGTGTGTGAGAGAGAGAGAGAGAGATGTCACTTCACACGTGTGTAATACACAATATTATATCATATAAACAACATGTAATATGTAATAAAATGTGGATAATGTACTAAGGAGGTATACTTATATCAGAGGGAAATGTTATCAATTCTATTTAGACCAATTTGAGAGTAGCTAGTGCAGAAGAGAAAAAGTATAAAGGAAAACAACTTTAAGGAAATCTATGCCAGAGAAAGTTTCTGTGTAGGGACCCGGAATTAGTAGGAAAAGCAGAGGGTTGAGTTATTGCTTCCATTATATATTGAAACTGATATACAAGGACCTGGAGACATTTCTAAATTAACTATAGTAGGAACATACATGGATTTAAAACATGTGCTTTATTTGGTCATGAGTTAGTTAAGATTCCTATTATATATACTACCTCGAAGTTTCCTAAAGTAAATGCTATGAGGCTGGTATATGGAAAGAAATCAGCTGGCTAAGAAGCCAGTGACTCACCCAGCATCGATATCCAGTTAAGTGATAAACACTTGCTATTTCTTTGTGAAAGATTGGCTCTGGAAATTCAGAAACTTTAAATACTCTTGCTAGCCATAGAGATAAAGAGGAAGTGACTGTTGATCTTCCCCAAATAGAAGTTGGAGATAATTTATAGAATTATAAGATAAATTCAACACTAGCTTGGCTCTGGCTTGAGTTAGATCTGCAAACACCATATGTGAGTGATGCTGGGTGATTTTGTGAAGTTGGGTTAGCAAATGCTCCAATCAGTTAAAAAATCTTATTCATCAGAAAAGCAATTAAGCTTCACTAAAACGTGAAAAGGTTTGAACTTATAAGTTATGCATAGGAAATGCATGACAGTTGATAGGTTGTAAATGTCAGTGGCTGTGGTTGAGCTATGAAACCAGTGTTTATTATTGAGTAAGGGTGGTTTAAAATTTTAAGTGGTGTTTTCCTCTGCATAATATTAATATGGAAGGACATCCACTGGCCTCATTCCTATGGCAGCCTTTCTTCTCTCTGGAACTGAAGTAATGGGTGGAAAAGAACGTCTGTTCAAGGCAAACAGACCTGCTTGAATGGAAAGAAAATGTGATAACAAATATCCATACCCAGGGAGGAGATGAAAGCACCAGGATGTGTAAGAGGTCCAGTGACAGATGTTAGGATGGAGCCAGGTTTGCTGTAACTCTCTGCTGACTTCCAGGGATTAAAGAATGTCAATAAGAACTTCATGACGGATATGTTAGCCCCCCAGTAAAGAACACGAAATCATTGTACAACTCATTTAATATTCAGTTAATCAAAGGTAGCAATCCAACCAGACATAAACTCTGTCCCTCAGAATGGCTCTCCCCTCCCTGCCACCCCACTATAGTAATATTTGTTGATTTGAGGATTGATGAAGCCTTTGAGGCTCAGCATGTAAATTTCATTCTCTTTCATGGGCACATCTGTCTTTCCTTCACCACTGACCCTAAGCAGAGGTAATCATACCTTCCTTTGTCCCAATAACCATCAAAACCTTTTTTAGAGCATTTACCACTCTTTCTTGCATGTAATAATGCCAGGGGGAAAAAATTTTGCTCCATCGAGGGGAAATGGGGCAAATTTTATTAGCATTGAATGTGCAGATAGACTTTTGTTTACAGATCTTTTTGTGTGAAGCTATTATATGCTGATATCGATCTCACAGAGAGTGGCTGTTTCCATATTGTCTTTTGGTTGTTTTATTCCCGAAGATGTAATAGAGATCGGGAACCTGTGTTTGGTGTGTATGTGTAGGTTGGAGGGAGCAGGACAGGGAGGGGCTTGGTGGGAAATATCTCTGACTGAAGTTGATTTCAGGCTCCAGAAATTTCCAGGATCAGTGGGAATGTCCCGAAGACAGAGACATTGCTATATGCTCATTTTTAGCTTTTCACCCTTTCTTCTCTCCCCTTCCCTTCACCCTCTGCCCTGCTCCATTCCTAAAGATGTAGAGGACTTGGGTATATATCATTTTTGAGTGATCGTCATAGTGGTGCGTATGCTGTGCACCCAGACATCCATCTAGGGCTCTTATGTAAGAGTGGTGGTGGGCATTACATAATAGAGATTTTATGGGCTGTTTATATAACGACACAGAAAATAAAGTATCATGAACAGGAATTATCAGCAGTCAAACAGAAGTGATTTGTTCTAACCAGTTGGATGCTGCCACCGCCGTCTCAATTATGGTTTATTTCTTACCAACATGCCTGAGATGTTAGGTCTCTGTACAGCCCAGGAAGCTCCAGTTTAATAGGATAGCTATGCAAATTGTGACACATTCTGAATGTGAATCACATTTCGCTTCTGGATACGACAAAGTACTGTGTCACAGATTTCACTGTGATGTTCTCTTGTTGGCTGTAGAGTGCTACCGTGAACTCAAATGTTTAAATGCATACAGTTGCTGGGGCGCCTGGGTGGCTCACTTGGTTGGGCGACTGCCTTCGGCTCGGGTCGTGGTCCTGGAGTCCCGGGCTCGAGTCCCGCATCGGGCTCCCTGCTCGGCGGGGGGTCTGCTTCTCCCTCTGACCCTCCTCCCTCTCATGCTCTCTGTCTCTCATTCTCTCTCTTGCAAAAAAAAAAAAAAAAAAAAAATCTAAATGCATACAGTTGCAAATGTTAGATGTGATTTCACAGAATCTTTCTGGAAGTATAACTAGTGTATCTTTGTCATAAAAATAAGAACACTTCTTGTTTAAA